TGGTGGTGGTGGTGGTGGTGGTGGTGGTGGGGGTGGTGGTGGTGGTCGTGGTGGTGGTGGTGGTGGTGGTGGTGGTGGACAGTTGACGTTTCGACAATTTCGCCTTTTTCAGAGCCGTTTTGTCGCGAGTGAGACCATTACGAGTGATCGTTTAATAGTTCTTCGTATAAATGCCACTTCACTTTTTCATTAGTAATGACCCGCCGTTGTCCGTCAAAGATCAGGCCTTAACTGTAATCCTCCATCGAAATCTTTGATGTGTGAAAGTCTTGTTTCTTAAGCCCGTCAGAACATGCAACTTAAGATTGGTTTGTTTTTTTAAACAAATCTGACGCATTGCGAGTTCCTCATGTTCTTTTGTCGTTTCTATTATATTCTCCTGTTCTTTTTCCTTCAGATATACATCGGCATTTTGTGACCCTTGTAGGAGTGTCAAGCAATGGGTCGTCGGATCCGAGTCCAACGTAAAGGTGCCGGGGGTATCTTCAAGTCGCACAATAAGCACCGTAAAGGTGCAGCACAACTGCGACCGCTTGACTACTCTGAACGTCACGGCTACATCCGTGGTGTTGTCAAGGACATCATCCATGATCCAGGACGTGGGGCTCCGTTAGCGATCATCGCTTTTCGTGATCCATACAAGTACAAGATTGTTAAAAGCACTGTTGTGGCCGCTGAAGGGATGTACACTGGGCAGTTCGTTTATTGCGGTGCCAAAGGTTGGTCTATTTGTAAGCTTCAAGTTTTTCTGGTTTTTCCTTACTACTTCAGTACTGTCATCGTTGTTAAGCTGTAGTGCATAGACTGTTGGAAGCATAGATAAGCGCCCGTGGCTAAGCAGTGATATACAAGAGTGTTTTATATAAACAAAGTTTGTAATTTCTCAAGTCGATGGTGTTTATTTCCCTGAATATTGTATAAAATGTGAAGAACGTAGTACGTAGTATGCAGTTCTTGAGTACTACGGCAGTATTGAGCCTGTATACCTTTCATGTCTACCTTATACCTTGACATGTATACCTTATGTCAATACATGCATCCCAACAGTTTACCGCTCCATCGTGGTGTTCTTGGGTATCGGTGTGCGATGTACAGCGGGGGATTTATTCCCCCGGTAGTGCCTCCCATGCTTAGAAATTTGACTTTTCCATCAGTAAGCCAAGCTAGGAGTAAAGCAATACTAGGATTCACTACCGTGCTGATGTCAAATTATTCCCATTGTTGCAAATCTCCCTCTGATCCACAAAGGCGGCGTCTTTCTGTGGTGGTGACGACCTGGGGCAGACTGGCCAGGCTGATTTCGGGACTTCAGGGAACCAAAGTGGCTAAACCAGCAAAACTCCGCAAAAGTGGTAATAATGCCAGGGCCCGCACAACTACACAGGACGGGGCATCCAAGTGTCCAAATAAGTATGAGTGCGTACATTTGTATTATTTATTTGTTGACTTTATTTACTTGATACTTGAATGGCCCGTCCTCACTGGTTGTGCGAGGCACAGCATAATCTCTATTTTGCTGGTTAAGCCATTATGGTTTCCTGGAGTTCCGAGGTCGGTTGGCCAAAGTCTTTCCCAGGCCTTGACCACCACGGGCAGTCGCAGCCCTTGTGGATCAGAGGGAGATTGGACATTATTGCGATTTTGATACAAAGGCTGTGGTGGATCCTGGTATTGCTTTACTCTTAGCAAGGTTGACCATTGGAGCTCCAATTGTAAGTTGATTACCAGTTAGAGACTAGAAAGCTCTTAACATAACCTACGTCATTCTGTAATTTTCAGTGTGCTATTTCATACGTCATAGAGCTCATAATCGCCAATGTTATTAATTTCAGCCAGTATACAAGTTGGGAACATTGTCCCAGTTGGCTGCCTTCCTGAAGGAACAACTATCTGTAATGTTGAAGGGAAATGCGGTGACCGAGGAAAGCTCGCAAAGTGCTCTGGTTTGTTCCAGTAATTCCCCAATCCCACATTTATTTTCCATTGTTTCAAAACGGTATAATTTATTCTCTATATGTTTGTTTATTTGATCTAGACTGAAAAGTGTTGGTCTTAAAAAATTATATTTGAAGGCAACTATGCCACTGTTATCGCCCACAACCCCGATACCAAGAAGACCCGTATTCGTCTCCCCTCAGGAGCAAAAAAAGTTATCCAATCTGCCAACCGCGCCATGATCGGTACGCAGGGAGCCAGGGAGCTACTTGTTTTTTTACACTTACTTGTGGTTATCTGTTATACATGATTATAAATGTTCAGGATTGGTGGCCGGAGGTGGTCGTACGGACAAGCCCATGCTGAAAGCTGGTCGTGCTTATCACAAGTACAAGGCAAAGAGAAACAGTTGGCCACGAGTCAGAGGTGTTGCGATGAATCCTGTAGAACATCCCCACGGTGGTGGTAACCACCAGCATATCGGTCATCCGTCAACGGTCAGAAGAGACGCCAGCGCAGGAAAGAAGGTAAATGAATCTTTTTACTGTCGCGCCAATTAAATTCGTATGTTTATCCAGTTAGTGTCCTAAGGTTATTCCGCTGACAGTAATATCTCTGTTCGGGAAGTGGAATACTTAACACGTATCATTTGTATGGCAAATCAATTCAAAGTGCTTTTTCGCTGTAATGACAGTTGACGTGGCGCTCGTAACGTTCTGTCGGGAGGTGAGAGGTACAAACGAGCATGCTATCAAGTATAACGTTAATTTCTCCATTTCAACAGCGATTCCGTGCTGTTCTATTAGTGAGGGCTTAGCACTGAATTATCAAAGGGATATATACATTTTCTGATAATCTTTTTTCGTCTTTGCGAATTCTATGGCATAGGGAAACAGCTGAAACTTTAAGGATATGGTATTGTTTCAACCAATTATTGCAACAACTTTAGGTTGGTCTTATCGCTGCACGACGTACAGGAAGAATTCGCGGAGGAAAGCCAGTTAAAGTTACAAAAGAGGAAGCCGTTTAAAGACATTGTTTTCGTTGGAATACAAATTTGTTATCTATTGTACGAGGTGAACATCTTGAATATCGTATTTACAATTGAATTAATACAGCGGTATTTTGGTATGCATTTTTTTCTTTTTCTCAGGTGCTTCTTTTACTTTGGTTTTTTTTCTGGTAGTGTCCAATCCTCATTAACCGTAGCGTGTCTGTGCCTCTTCCAGGAATGGATATACTAGCTTGGAACGTTTGTCATAAGGGGAAGGATACAGAGTGGTTTATAGACCTGGTCTGTTGGTGATCACTATAATATGTGAAGCATAAATGTGAAGTACGACGATGATACGGGGAACTTTATCCTCCCAATTTTGGTAATAGATTCCTTTTGTCTCAGTGTTGAGAAATGGGCACTGTTTCTGCTGTGACTAAGGAGAGCAGATTGTGAGAGGCTGACGTAAGTAGTGGTCGAACTGTCATAAATTACCATGTAATCTGCAACTGACCCAATGAAATGTACTGTACCATTTTGCCTGATTACACCAAGATTAAAAATGGGAGATGCGTGATTTCGTGGTCGCTATAGTGATGTGTTTTAATCTGGAAGTTGTGTTGGCGAGAGCCACTATTTTTTATCCACAAAGAAAGGCAACCACGTTCATGCGTCGAAGCCGGTAGATATACACGAGAGCCAAAACGATAAGGACTTCTGAAATACTGACAACTAACAGAAACCGTAAACGCCTGCGGAGCCAGAGGTTTTATGTTATCACTAAAGCATGCTTTATACATTAGATTGGTTTATTGACCAAAGATAGTCACTTCATCTTTGTCATGACTAAGGCGGGTGTTTATTATAGTAGAAATTTCTTGAAACTTTATAATCTGGCGGAATCGGAGGTGAATATCTTTGTCGTGGAGTGGTCTCTTTGAAGTGGAATGGTTGAAATGTTTGGTGAGCTGCGTTGCATGTCAGTATATACTTTTTAAGGTTTTGAAGAAGATAGTGAATGGAGAGTGTAAAAATCAGAGATGTTTCAGTGGAAGATTCTTCTGTTCAATTATGAGATATTTTATTGTAAGCTGTACAAGAAGGCGTTTTATGTGATAGATGGAGATGGAAACATCATAGCTGATGTGGTGCATTGTGGACTGATGTCACTCGCACTGTTGAAGAGATGACGTTCGTATTCCGTGAATCGATAAAATCAATATCCGGGCAATCCATCGACAATGGTGTTCTAAAAATCAGAGCTGATCTTAGATAATGATAGATTTTTCTATAACTTTGAATGTTGCTAAACTAGGTTAGACTAAGTTATCCATGAATATTGCTGCAAGGGAAGGCAATGTTATCGGTGTTGTTGATTGTCGATATTGATTCTTCTGACTGAATTAGCACCAACGTTGCACGGGAAGACATATCGATCGTAGGTTCTAGTTCAGGGCGCGGTTTACTGTTTTCAAAATGTAATTCGTCAATTCATTTGAAGCCGTCTACACATCTGAATATATTCATACAATAACTGCCACGACCGACTTTCTATTAACCTCGGCATTGATCAAGTGATTTTCTTCGTATTTTTGTTGAGCAAACGCGAGGTGTTACTCACTCACATCACATTATACTTCCACGTGATTTCTGTGCGGTTGGTCTCTACGTGACATACTTAGTGGAAACCTCATAGAAAGCGGCTCTGAAGAAGGCGAAATCCGCCGAAACGTCAGTTTAATCGTGAACAAAGAATAGTAACACCTCGCGTTTGCTCAACAAAAATACGAAGATATTCATACAATGCTAAGCTAGCTAGCATTCCCCACAACGAGCAAATCTAGAATTGGTTTTTTTACATTTATACTTAAGAAAAAGGTGAAGTCTTGTGGTCTCTGCCTGTTCTTGGACGGGATTGTTATTGTCAGCATACATAGAAATACCTGTGAACTTATCACTTATTATCTCTTTATGTATAAATCCTTAACGTAGTTACTTGGACACTTGGATGGCGCACCTTCACTGGTTGTGCAGGTCACAGCATAATTTCGTCCGCCGAAGATCTTCTGATTTAGCCATTGTGGTTCCGTGGAGCCTCGAGTTCAACTTAGCCAAAGTCTACTCCAGATCGTCACCACCACAAGGAGTCGCAGCTCTTGTGGTTCAGAGGGAGATTTGCCACCATGTGACCAGTTTGATACCAAGACAGTGGTGGATCCTGGTATTGGTTAACTCTTAGTTGGACTTCCTGATGGGAACGCCGGATTCAGCTTGGGAGACCGTGACGGGGGATGAATCCCCGCGCTGTAGACTGCAACCCGGCACTCAGGAACACCTAGCCACAATAAGGCGTAAACCGTTAGAGATGAACGAGATTATTATGGTATTCAGTTGATACTCATAGAAACACCTTTCACCTTAGCAGGTATTACCTTCTTATGTATAAATCTGTAACCACAAGGGGAAAACATTTCGCAAGTACTTGTGTGTCTATTGTAGTACGGTAAAATTTTTAACGTCTTAACCAATAAGAGCGCTGGTAATTAGTAAAATTGCCAACGTTTTCTTTCTATAAATGAATGTTTTTCGAAGGCTCCAAATTCACTCACTTGGCATCGTTGTGCATAGTGATACGAACTTCAGGCAAATTTGCTGCACGTTTATGTTTTCGTCGACAAAAACCACATTTGTAATGGCAGTATGAATACAAAATGAGTAAGAAGGCGATGCTAGCAACAACAATTGTGAGCGTAATCAGAAACTGATTCACCTCCGATGGCTGCATCGTGTCTGAAACGAGACGTCATGTCACACTGTGAAGGACATGCGTAGTCCACTTGTACTACTTTTTGGGTATTGTATGAAAATACTGCGCCAGTACTGCAGATATTGCACCAGAACCAATGCCTATGCAGTACGATGAATGGAGTTACACTGCGATGCATATGATCGTCGATTCGATCTTTACGCTCTACGCCAGCTAGAACCCTATTCCTCCGGAGAGTCGAAAAACGAATATCAAGTCTGAATGGAAGGGCACGAACAACAGGATGTTAGTTCGCTGTTTTCTTGATAGTCACACACGAGATTGTTACTATGCTGTTTATTCGCAAAAGCTGACCTTCCGATGGATTCCGCCTTCTTCGGAGCCTGGAAAAGTCAATTTGACTGCAATCTAGTCAAATCAATACATCTCTAGCCCCAGAAGAAAGAACAACGAAACATAGATTTCAATTTCATTAGAAGCAAAGTGGATTCTTCGCACACACCGCTTTCTATAAGTTTTCCACTGAATATGTCAGGTGACGAGATTTACCGCACAGAGTTCGCGTGGAAGCGTAATGTGCCCCTCACGTTAAAAAATCAGTCTTAAATACTGTGAGATCAAGCGTGTTTACGAAGCATTTCTTCCCGGTTCATTCTTGGATACTTGGAATTCATCCAGAATGCTTCGAGAGTTATGCACACTACTGTTTTCGATTCCTGCGCGAGGATGGTAACTTGTACTCCAAAATCTTCCCCGTTATATCCGTGTCTATGCACTGGAGTATTTGGTTTAAGTTTACCAACTAGGTGTTCCTTTACACGTCCGCAGAATGGTATGCTCGTTTCGCCAATGTAGTCACCCCGGGACGCTTTACAAGAGATCAGATAGACCATAAACGAACTAATGCAATGCCCATCTCAATCGTCAGGGCACATTATGCAATTTTACGTTGAACGTACTCGTTCATACGGGCAATTATGAACTAGCTGGCGTTTGAGAGTCCTCGGAGGTATTTCAATCAATGCCACCGATTTCTGTTTGCACTTATTTCGTTGGTAATGAGGGCAGGATAAGCAATATTCTCAGTATAGATGTCGTTTTGGGGCATAGCTCTTTCTTAAAACTCATCTCGAGGAGTTGGCACTTTGTGTAGTCGTTGAAAATGGCCGATTGCCTTGCCAATTTAGGAGATTCTTCCTTCCACTGTCTTCCTGTACACGCGTTGATTGCCGTTCGAAACATGTTTTTCACAAGCGCTCTTTTTGTGTTTGAAAGGTGACAGGGGAGATAACGAATCAGAATGTCTTTGTTCCTTGGCTATCGGTACGACCTGGTGGTATAGCCATTCTCGAATTGATTAACGAGACGTGGGAACGTTGAGCACTACGTTTAGAGTGCTGCGACGAATGCATTTGTGAAACGGGTATACCACTGTGCATCCGTATAAAAGAACATTTAGTTGCTAAACTTAATTTTAGACCAAATACTCCGCTTGGTGCGCAAAGGACGCACACACATCTAGGGTAAGAGTTTTAAGTAGAAGTTATCATCCTCGCACAGAAATTGAAAATTTCAGGGCGTAAAATTCCTGAGACATTCCAGATAAATATCACGAGCCCAAAAATGGACCGCAGAGAGTAATGCCACGTAATCACTCGTAATCTCATACAATATCTTAGACTGATATTTCAATGTGAGAAAGGCGCATTACCCACCCATCATAACTCTCTGCGGTTGGTCTCCACGGGTCTCTCCAGTACTCAGTGCAAGATTCTTACAAAGTGGTGATTGCGCAAGGGAGCGATTTTGTTTTCAATGCCATTGAAGACTAGGTTTCATGATTTTCTGTTGGAATTATGGAGGTATTTGGCTGATTGGGTTGCAGTCATCTTAACCTTTCCAGGCTCTGAAAGAGGCGTAATCCGCCGAAACGTGAGGTTTTGCGAATAAATAGTGTGATAACGACTTCATTTTTGCTTATCAACAAAACAGCGAATTATTGATGAATACCAAGATTAACGGAAAGTTGGTCTTGGGAATTACTGAGCTGGCACATCGCTAGGCTACTGCTAGTCATTTAATGGGCTCATGCGAGTTAAATGTATGGCGCATCTCCAGGGGACAGGTCAACGCCGCTCGCTCCTCGTGCACTTTATTATTTGCGCTTTTATAAAATAATACTCTTAATGGTTACTTGCTCTTCCTGACTGGGAAGTTCTTCTGGTTATCGGACTGCGATACATATTGGAGATCGCACAAACTGAGCAGTCTGCCATTTTCATCAGCAAACCGAACTAAGAGCAAAGTGCCATGGAAGAACCAGTTGAGCTACTTGTGGCTTGCCCATTGGAAAAAACAATAGAGAGGAAATGTTATGCAAAAAATGTCACGCTTTTGGTATCACTCAAGTGAACGGAGCTGTTTAAGCATATCTGGTGCTGATAAGGATGAATGGGGACGTTGGTGATCTCATCGTGACTTAGCGGATGACTAGTGAATTCTTATATATTGTAGGTGATAAAAAAGCTTAACCTTAATGCATTAAGAAGACGCTGATCTTTATGATGCCAGGTGAAATCACTCCGAAAATTTTTCCTTTGCTTTCTTTTACCATCATTCACATTTCCAGTGTAGTGATAGCTTTTTTAGTGCCTGTTCAACTCTTTTTAGAATACTACTTAGTTCACGTGTAGGGCAATGGTTAGAGGCGCTCTGCAGTACACACGAGTTTGATCTCGCGCCCCAGGCCCACAAAGCCTTCCTTCCCTCCAGGGTCGGCAAATTAGCACCATACTTGTCTGCGAGGACAGCATTACTGTCTCGATATATCGGTAGGCTACCGCATCTCTTTGTATAGGCTAAATATGCATTCATGCATCTCCAACAATGTTTCCAACAATGACAACTTCCTTTGCGAGAAATGCTTTAGCAACAGAGCCGAGAGCTGCACTGCCCCTACAAGTAAACTTGTTCCTCATAGGAAAAAATTTGCAGATTCTAATACTTTTTATTTCTATTACAAACGTTTATTCCTAGCTTAGATATGCCTCTTCAAAAAATACAGATCAAAATCCACCATTAACTTCCGAACAACCTAATATAATACACTCAATCACTCAAAACCATGATAAGGAAACAAACCATAGGTGCACATGTATCACATAATTTATCAAACGTTACATAGAACAATAATATTCCCATAGATAAAGGTCTCGGTGGTGCATTGCATAACAAGTGAGCCCTTGGAAAGGGTTATCGGTGGTTCGAATCTCGCCTAGGGTCTGAGCTTTGCAGATATCTCGGAATCATTGTAGTTTTCATAGATAATTTTATTATTATCTCTTAAAACTAGAGTCGATTCAAAAATCTACCAAGATCTATGGACGATTCGAGTACTAAACCTTGAAGACACTAAAACTGATTTAACTCGCTACAGAAAACCGACCATGAAATGATAAGCCTTTATTAGCTCTTTTTCTTTAGTCCTTTCTCTCATGTATTTATGATATCATTTGGAATCTCCTTGACAAATTTTGATCCTACACTGTTGCAGTTATTGCTTTCACAGTAAGAAATTCCTTAACAGTTAATGAAGAGCACAAAGCGTGAAAACGAAGCTCAATTTAGCAGAGATGGGCAGGTATGCCACCCACAACAAGAAAGCTGATTTAGTGAAACTCTTGAGCAGCCAGATTTTCACAGAAAATATAGACAGACACTCACCTAAATATGGAAAATCCTATCCGAATGTGACAAAAATAGATTCCTAAGTGTTTGATGAGGTGTGGAGTGGTCGGCAGCTTCTTGACCTAAAAATTCGAGTTCATCATGTGAATTGATTCCGAGCGAATGGGAGTACAGTTTCGAGTTCTGTTCAGGATCTAGAATATTGTCACCCAGTTTGAAACCACTGTAACATAGAAGCTGAGACGAAGTTTATATGAAAATATACGAAATAAACATTACAAAACTATAACGTTTAAAATTACGAGAACAGTTAACATAAGTTTTACAAATGTAACTGTTCTCTCCAAGCCATGCACACGTGTGGCCACTGGTTCGACTCTGTGCCGGACCAATAAGGCTAGTTTAGCTTTCCGAAGTTGACAAATTGGCACTAGACTTGTCTTGAGAAAGATTTCCAATCATTCTGCGATTCAAGAACACTGGCGACTGCCTGTGGTGAAGGCTACGTAGGCTGTCCCAGAGTTCCAGGAAGGATCAACTCGTCCAACATTCATTGAGAAAACAGTGTCCAAAGTGGCAGCCGAACTACCACACAAATCGGAACCCTTGGGGTTGACGGATGCCAGACAACGAACTGGGTGAAAAAAGTACTGTAATGCCAACAATATGTGAAGTCGACCCAAATAAAAAACACTGCTATTGAAATATTATACCATTATATCAATATTATAAGAAATATCAACTGCTATCATATATTATGATTATTGCTACTGAGAACGTTCTTTACCAAACAGGCACTAACCGTTTTTTTTACGAGTGTTCCTTCTAATTTCATTTAGTGCTCTTCACAGATTTGCAAAAGGTTAGCAAAACAAATGTGGAGAGGAGCGAGAAACATGGAAGAGAGGAAGAAAAAAGGAAAAAGGGAGAAAAAGGAATAAATGGAAAGAGGATGAGTGTGGGAACTAACTGTAAGAGAGAAATTCCGTGGCATCAACAGAGACACAAGACAGTGAGACGTTTCTTTGGAAATCATCTACTTGCATTGGATGAATTAATATTAACAACCGGATGGGGAGATGGTCCAGGGCAGCGTGCAAGTCGTTAAAGTGTGATGCGCCAAGTGGAGATAATTACAGAAATCCGGAGTGAGGTTCAGCACACTGTCGTAGAACGTATTTCCACTATAGCATTTGGACGGTAGTCTCCTCGGTGTTGAACCGCTATGTTCACTGGGGTTCATAGACTAACAGTCACCAAATTTAACACGTTTTCGATATTTCCATTGGGAATTCCAGAATGATCTAATTCTATACCAGTATGAATCACCG